TGCAGTTCCTCCAAGCCTCTCACGTGCCGGTCCCGGACCGGCGGTACCCCACCTCAAAGCACCGTGGACACCGGTACCGCACACAAGAACGCCCCTCTTTTTGGGACACAGGGGCCTGATCTGAAGGGCCCCTCCTCCGGACTTCAACACTCGGAGGAGGGGTCGGGCGGGGCGCTCTGGGACGCCGCACTCACCTCAATCAGGTTCATCCGCTCGGCCTCCCCCAGCACAGCCAGGGAGGAGCGGGGAGGGAGCGGCAGCGACCTGGGAGCTGACGGACGCCACAGGCTCCCGCAACCGATTCAGCCGAGCCTCACTCTAGTCTCCGTACAACGGGGGAACCTTTTCTCGCGTCTTTTCGCTCTTTCACGACAGGCTCCACTCAGCCGAAAAGAGTGACCCGGTCCCAACGCAACCATATTTATGTCCGCACGGGGGCGTTGCAGGAAGTCCCGCCCTCACGCATTGAGAACCCATGGAGACGTCTCTCCGCTGTGACTTCATTGGCTATACTCGCTGCTTGTGTCCGCCGCAGTGTCTTCTGGGTCGTGTAGTTACCAGGCTGCTGCCTGCCCCGCCTCTGAACCTAAGTAATTAGCCTTCTGTTTGAAAGCCAGGAGGGTCCTCCAGAGGCGTTGAGAAATGCAGTTCCGGGGCTCCAAGGAAGTGGAGGGGCTTCACTGGCTTTTGAACGGCAAGTATCCAGATTTTCCCAGAAGACAGTCTAGAAATGTCAGAGAAATGTTTCAGAGACCTGTCCTTTCAGATTCTGTAAACCACATCAAGTTCCCAAAGGAAGAACACCCGAAGGAACACGGGCATCCGTAATGAACTGGTCTTCCACGCGTAGCGATCAGCTCTTTTGTGCTTGGCAAATACACACAGACCGAAGCTCTGGAGACCGTTTTGTGATCTTCAATATGTTCTACTGAGACAAGAAAAGACCCAAACGTGGCATGATGGGGAGTTTGAGGAGAAATATCTTTCCTTTCTGAATAATCAGTGATTGTCTTTCAGCCTACCCAGCAATACTTTATTCACATGTTCCTTATTACTTCATATCTGAGATATTTTCCACTTATTTTAAGAAACTGAAACCTAACTGAAAAGGAAAAGCAACTTATGTATCATTATCTGCCAGGATAGTGTGTGGCCTTCTACCAGTCAAACCCTTGAGATAAAAGTTTGGGAATGCATGATCTCATCTACTTACTGGAAAGTGATTTATCATTTCTCCTGAAATTGTATCAACAGTATCTGCACAGTGAGTTGAAATTGTCTCTGAATAACTCTTGTGAAATGGCTATTACTGAAACTATTAATGATGATTATGTAGTTAGCCAAAGAGTGGTTGCAGTGGGCTCTGTGGGCCAGCCACTAGACCCAGAAGAGTATGGCATCACTGCCTCATCACCATCACGGCTGCCACACCAGCAGCCCAGGGATTCAAGGGTGCACTCACATGCTTGGTACACTGCTATCACAACCAGCATCTAAGAGAGCCAGTAAGAAGCCCAAGAATCAGCCTGCTTGGAACTGCTAACACAGGTACCAATATTCACCACCACAAAGCACAAGGATAGACATACTTAGCTCACCACCAGTACTGCTGAAGCCTGAAGATAAGCTCATCTGGCATTCCTGTTCCCAGCACAACTTTACCAAAACCTCCACTAATAACTAACAGTGTGCACCCTAACACACTTGAGAAAACCACATGAACTGTTTATAGCCAAGGAAATCATACAAAAACTTTACTGCTGAATGCACTCAGAAGTAAAGCTGGCCGGGCGCGGTGGCTCACGCCTGTAATCCCAGCACTTTGGGAGGCCGAGGCGGGTGGATCACAAGATCAAGAGATCGAGATCATCCTGGTCAACATGGTGAAACCCCGTCTCTACTAAAAAATACAAAAAATTAGCTGGGCATGGTGGCTCCTGCCTGTAATCCAGGCTACTCAGGAGGCTGAGGCAGGAGAATTGCCTGAACCCAGGAGGCGGAGGTTGCGGTGAACCGAGATCGCGCCATTGCACTCCAGCCTGGGTAACAAGAGCGAAACTCCGTCTCAAAAAAAAAAAAGAAGTAAAGCTAAAGTGCCCTACTCAATTAAGACCATTGATACATCTTCAAAACCTCCACAAACAAAAGTAAATTCAAAAAAGATAAACTATTATACTACACATGCAAAAAAATCAATGTAAAAACACAGGAAACATAGAAAAGCAAGAAACCATGACACCCCCAAAATTACAATATTTTTTCAGCAATAGATCTTAACCAAAGAAAAAAAACCCAAATTCTCACCATACCAGATAAAGAATTGAAAACGTTGATTTTAAAGAAGCTCAACATGACACAAGAGAAATATGAAAACCAATGCAAAGAACTCAGATAAATAATTCAAGATTTGCTTCCTGTCACATGGGGCAGCTGCCTGGGGCTGGTGGAATGTGGGACAATGTTACAGCTCCTTTCACAACTTACCATTTGGTGGTTTCTGGGTTCTTGTCCCATGACCAAAAAGAATGACATTTTGTAAACACTAGAGAATGAGAAAGGCAAGTGACTTTACTGAGTGGCAGAAAAGCTCTCAACAGGAGGGGAACCAAAAGTGGGTAGCCCAATGTGTGGCTGGGTCCAGGGTTTTTATGGACTCAGAATGGGGACTGCGTACTGATTGGTCCATGGGTGGGCCTGAAAAAAGCACCATTCAATTGGCTAAAAGGCATGGAGAAGTTCTTACTCCAGTCATGGACCCTACTTGGAAATGGCAGCCAGTTTTCAGGCTTTAAACAGTCTTTGGCTTAAAGTTTGGGTTTCACCAGGGACCTGTCCTTAGTCTGCCTAGGAATTTATCTGCCTCCTACCACTATCAGTGAAATAACCAATACTTTATCCTGATGAAAGGAAATTTCTGCAATCTGCCTGCCAAAGCCAGTCCATGTCTTCAGTGCAAGGCTGATGTCTATGCCCAAATCATTCATAGGAGAGGAGGTGAGGCTCCCAAAATGAATTCTTCAAATAGAGAATTTTTCAAATAGAGAATTCATGATGCCATAACTGCATTTTAATGTGACTAAAGTGCTACACACCATGAGTTTTTGCCAGTTGGTAGAAAAGAGATGACTTTTTTTTTTTTTGAGACAGAGTCTCACTCTGTCACCAGGCACCAGGCTGGAGTGCAGTAGTGAGATCTCGGCTCACTGCAACCTCCACCTCCTGGGTTCAAGCAATTCTTCTGCCTCAGCCTTCCAAGTAGCTGAAACTACAGGCGCATGCCACCACACCCAGCTAATTTTTTGTATTTTTTACTAGAGATGGGGTTTCGCCATGTTGGCCTGGTTGGTCTCGATCTCTTGACCTCGTGATCTGCCCACCTCGGCCTCCCAAAGTGCTGGGATTACAGGTGTAAGCTACTGTGCCCGGCCAAGAGATGACTTTTTAAATAGGGTTGACAGGGGCATAACTCTGGCAAAGGCCCCAGACCAGTTGAAAAGTGCAACACAGCTCACAAAATCTTCTCATATATCCGGCAGTATAGATATATGGTGGATATCCCTAGTGTGGATATCCCCAGTGTGGATATTTAGATGTATGAGGTTCAATTGCTGGCTCTCTCCCTAAAAAGCTAATATCCAAAGCATTGCTCTACCGAGTTATTATGTTAACAAGAAATGATCACACTGCCTTCCCTTCTTTTCCTAGAGTGAACTTGCTGGCATGGAATGAGGTTAGGCTAATGGCTAAAGACTTTCCAACATTCACTAGACTCTTAATACCTTTCTGGGTTCTCTGATAGCAAGAAACAACCTAACGTCACTTGGATAAATAAAAAGCAGAACTATTTATTACCTATAGCTAAAAATGAGAGAACCTGGATAGGGTCCCACAGAGGGTTGCATCTGAGACAAAGTAACAGCAACCTGAGGCTGCAGGGGACAACTTAGGTAAGACAAGTGGATTGCATTAGCTATGTTTTCCATGCTCCCCATGGATTGGCTAATTTGAATAATTTCAGCTGGAATATAGCAGTCTGGAGTGTGAAAGCCCACTAGCCTTGTCCTCAAAACTGAGTCTCACACACACCTAAAATGTGTGGTACTGACATAAAGACAGACATATGACCAACAGAATGGAGAATCCACATATAAACCACGGCATATATAGACAAATGATCTTGACAAGTGCCAAGACTACTCAACAGAGGAAAGATTTTTTTCAACAAATAGTGCTTGGAAAACTGGATAGCCACATTAAGTGGACTTCTGCCTTAAGCCACATGCAAAAATGAACCCCACATAAAGATCTAAATGTAGCCAGAATCTAAATGCCAAGATTAAAGATCTAAATGTAGCCAGGCACAGTGCATTACAGCTCATGCCTGTAATCCCAGCACTTTGGGAGGCCAAGGCAGGCGGAACACTTAATTAAGGCCGGAAGTTTAAGACCAGCCTGGCCAACATGGCAAAAACCCATCTCTACTAAAAATACAAACTAGCCAGTTGTGGTGGCACACATTTGTAATTCCAGCTACTTGGGAGGCTGAGGTGGGACAATGGCTTGAACTTGGGAGGCGGAGATTGCAGTGAGTTGAGATTGAACCACTGCACTCCAACCCGGTGACAGAGCAAGACTCTGTCTCAAAAAGAAAAAACAAAAACAAAAACACAAGCCCTAAATGTAAGACCTACAAATATAAAATTCTTAGAATAAAACATATGGAAAATACTTCGCATTGGATTTGATGCTGTTTTTTTTGTTTTTTGTTTTTTAATATATATAACATCAAAAGCCCAGGTAACAGAGGTAAATATAGGTAAACTGGATTACAGTCACCCCTTGGAGTCTGTGGGGGACTGATTCCAGGACCCCTGTGGATACCAAAATCATCTGATGCTCAAGAGGTTCCTCACATATATGCACAGTGTTTGCATATAACCTACACACATCTTCCCATGTAATACTTTAGATTATCTCTAGGTTATTTATAACACCGAATACAATGTAAATGCTATGTAAATATTTATTATACTATATGATTTAGGGAATAATGACAAGAAAAAATGTCTGTTCATGTTTAGTACAGATGCAACTACCCTTTTTGTTTTCTGAATATTTGTGATTAATGATCAGTACAATCCATGGATGCTCCAAATACTTTTGATCTGTGGTTGGTTTGATGCATGAATACAGAAGCCAAAGACACAGAGTCAAAAGTACATCAAAATTTAAACTTTCATCAAAGGACACAATCAACAGAGCAAAAAAACAACCTATGGACTGGGAGGTAATATGTAAAAAGCATATATTTGTTAAGGAGTTAATATCCAGAATATATAAAGAATTTCTATAACTCAAAAACAAAAAGCAAATAATCCCATTAAAATGAAAAAAAAAAAAAAAAAAAAGACTTGAATATTTTTCGAGATACACAAATGCCTAACAAGCACATGAAAAGATGATCAACATCATTAATCATTCACAAAATAAAAATGAAAGACACTGAGATTCCACCTCGCATCCAAAAGGATACCTGCTATCCAAAACAAAAGGCACAACAAAAAATCCCAAAGAACAGAAATAGAAAATGAACAATGTTGGTGAGGATGTATATAGATTGTAATCCTTGTGCACTGCTAGTGGGAATGTAAAATGCCACAGGTACTATGGAATAAGTTTTCTCAAAAATATTAAAAATAGAAATTCTGTAAGATCCAGCACCACCATTTTGGAGTATAAACCCAACAAGAATCAAAAGTAGAATCTTGAATAGACACTTGTATACTCATCTTCATAGCAGCATTATTTCAAAAGATGAAAGTAACCCAAGCATCCATTAACAGATGGATAAATAAAAGGAGTATATACATACCATAGAATATTATTTCACCTAAAAAGGAAGGATATTCTGACACATTATACAACATGGGTGAACCATGAAGACCTTATCCTAAGTGAAATAAGCCAGTCTCAAAAGACAAATACTGTATGAATCCACCTATATGAGGTACCAATAGATATCAAATTCATAGATACAGAGTATAGACATATAGTTGAGACATTTCTGGGGACAGTAGGAAAGGGGAATGAGTTGTTTCTAATAGATACAGCATTTTACTTTTTTTGCAAGAGGAAAAATGTTCTGGAGATTAGTTACATAAAAAGGTGGAATTTATGTAACATTACTACCCAATTACAATGGTCAATGGTAAACTTTCTCCATTGTGAAATCTCTGATGTTTAATGAGGTTGGAGTTGCAGCTGAAGAATTCCCCACATTCATGGAGCACATAAGCCTCTCTTCACTGTGGATTTTCTGGTGATGAACCAGGTGAGATTTTCTAATAAAGGCCTTCTGGCATTCGCTACACTCATAAGGTCTTTCTCCACTGTGGATTTTCTCGTGCTCAACAAGTATATGCTTGTGGCTAAAGGCTTTACCACACTCTCTGCACTCATAAGGCCTTTCTCCAGTGTGATTTCTCCAATGTTTAATGAGGTTGGAGTTGTAACGAAAGAATTTCCCACATTCGCTGCACTCATAAGGCCTTTCTCCCGTGTGGACTCTCTGGTGTCTAATGAGTCTGCAGTGGTACCTAAATGATTTCCCACATTCACTACATTTATAAGGCCTCTCTCCAGTGTGATTTCTCCAATGTTTAACGAGGCTGGAGTTGTACCTAAACAATTCCCCACACACACTGCACTCATAAGGCCTTTCTCCAGTGTGAATTCTCTGATGTCTAATGAGTGTGGAGATATACCTAAAAAATTTCCCACAATCATTGCACTTATAAGGTCTTTCTCCAGTGTGAACTCTCTGATGTTTAATGAGTGTGGAGCTGTCCATAAAGAATTTCCCACATTCCCTGCACTCATATGGCCTTTCTCCAGTGTGAACTCTCTGATGTCTAACGAATGTGGAGCTGTACCGAAAGAATTTCCCACATGTGTTACACTCATAAGGCCTTTCTCCAGTGTGAACTCTCTTATGTCTCATGAGTCGGTAGTTGTACATAAATGATTTTCCACATTCTCTGCACTCATAAGTCCTTTCACTAGTGTGAACTGTCTGATGTTTCATGAAATTGGCACTGTACTTAAAAAATTTCCCACATTTGTTACATTCATAAGATCTTTCTCCCGTGTGGATTTTCTGGTGCTCAACAAGTGAATATCTGTAGGTGAAGGTTTTCCCACATTCACTACATTTGTAATCTTTTTGTCCAGTCTGAAAGTCTTCTCTGTCCTCTGTGTCCCTGTATGGCTTCCACTCGCTTTGAGGGGCCTGTTGCTGGAGAAGGCATGAGGTGGCTGGTAAGTCCTTCCAACCCTCCATGAATGTGAAGATCTCCTCTGCCATGTGAATTCTGTGGTTCTTCCCAAATGAAGGTATCCAATTGTCCCCTCTGGAAAGATTCTCTCCAATTTGCTGCTCTGGGCACGGAAAAAGCTCTGCCTCACAAATATATATGTCTTGCTCAGGATGAATTCCATTGTGCTCAACCAGGCACAGAGTGTCTTTCAAGGGTGGGCCACACGTCTCACTAGGGTGGATCTTCTGGGTGATCATACAGGAATTTGAAGTTGTAACCTCTGACACTCCTGCAGAAAAACCTTGCTGTGAAGGTGCCACCTCATCCTCAGCTCCATGCCAACAACCTGTCAGAATAGAAATGTTGGTGAAGTGCATGTTGACTTTGGTGGGATGAAGCAGCTCCATCACAAATGTCTCTCAGGCACACAATGGACATTAAGGCCAGTGAGAAGAGGGTCCACTATGCAGGGCTGGGCCTAGTAAGGGCCCACATAATGGGAGAGTCCTGATGATGGTAAGCATACAAGGGAGGGGTATGGAACAGAAAGAAAAGGCAGGATCTCCCACTCACTCCTCTGCAAACAGCTATCAAAAGGGCATGGTTGCAGGAGACTGGTAAGCAGTGTATAGGACATTTTCTCCAAACCCAGAGATCAGACTGACAGAGAAGCTAGTGTTCAGGGATACATGCAGACCTTACACCACCTTAAATACAGGTCATGCATTGATAGGCATTCAAAGGGAGCAGTGGAAAAGAATGGGTGAGGGGTGGTGGCCCCAGAAGTATAGACTGTGGGGCACTGGAGGTGCAGCGGCCAGCAAGCATACTAAAAATGATAATGAGGAAGAAAAGGTAGAAATAAGGTGTGGCCACTGGCCTTGGCAACAAACAATAGTGAGCACAGAACAGGTTCCAAGGGTGCTTTGACCCCAGCTGTGACATCAACCCTCTTCCCAAATCCCAGGCACCCGGGCCATGTCCCTGAGCCTCTAATACCATTGTTGAAGTAGTATCTACCCTCTCAGGCACCTAGGGCCCTCTCTAGGGGAAAGAAAGAGAAAAAGAGTAAAGAGCACACACCCGGAGAGATCAAGCCCATGGAAACCCCACATTGTATAATCATAAGAACTTCACAGAAGACTCCTGCCTCCTGCACAATCAACTCAGTAGTCCCTAACTTAGTGACCAGGACAGTGACTGAAATTCTAAGCAGCAGAGGAAGGCAGCAAGAAATATCAGTGAGAGAAAGGGGACAAGAGAACAGTAGTCTCATGTGTTTGGACCTGAGACAGACAAGGTTGCTGTGGTCTCTATGCCAAATTCAACATTTCTGGCTCCTGAGCCCTTTCCTGTAAGCCTCAGAGCAGTAGGGATGGGGATGCGAGGAAAAAGGGGGTATAGAACACACAGCCCAGCCCTGCCTCCCACAGCATATATGCCAAGAAATCGGGAAAAGCAGCAGCACCCATGGTCTCACTGTGGGAAACACAGAGCTGCCTTTGGGTAAAAAGGGATAACCCAACCCAACCCAGGACACTGGGCAAGTGTGAGGGCCTTACCTAGTGAGGACAAAAGGGCCAAATTCTCCAGCATCACATCGCGGTACAGCAATCTCTGAGCCTCATCAAGGTGCCCCCACTCCTCCTGGGAGAAATATATGGCCACGTCCTCAAAGACCACACGGTCCTGCCAAAGTGGGAAAGATGAGTATGTGAGCAGCATCTTTTCAAGCTGTATTTACTTAAGTTCTCAATTTCCTACTTATATTTACCATCCATTAAACACAGGGCCAAAATAACAGCCAAATGTGTTTCTAATCTTCCCTACCATCCTGCGCTATATTCTAAACCATCTTTGTATCTTTCTCAAACCAAGCCAATATTTCCCGGGCTCTAAATCAACCCAGGTACTGCACAAGTAGGGACAGTCCCAGTAGCCCAGGTATCCTGGAATTACTTAAACTAGCCAAACTATCCTGTCACCCAGCCCTGCCTTGTTTCGCATGGAAACCTCAATAGTATCTGTGGGTTAAACTAAACTTTCCCCTCACTCCAATTTTCCTCCTGACCAAATCTGGCCGTTCACCATGTGGCCCTGTGTTATGTGGTGTGCACCCTCCTTAGGGAAATGTAAGGAATAAATATCTTCTATCAGTCATTGGCCTGTCCCTGGCATCACTCACCCACATCCATAAATTAAAACCCTATGGGTATAATCACTGCTATATTTCTCTCTCTCCAGGATCTCATCGCTCTCCCCTACACCTTCTTTCCTTGCTCAGTCTCCACACCCTCCTAATGTGGAAGAGACACCACATCCAGGTGGCAAGAGTGACTTTTCTCTCCACATTTCCATTGGCCACTGTGTTCAGCACACAGAGAAAACAGGTGAAGGACAAGGCAGAAAAGTACCCTCTAGGATGGGGGCCTCCCATGGGGATATCCATCGTCTCCTGCTAGCTGGTATCCATGGAGTCACTCAGATCTTGCCTCCCAAGACAACCAAATGCAGACTCATCCCCCTCCCTTAAGCTACCAGGGCCAGGGCCTGGAGCCATCCATTCACACTCCTCCTGCCTGCATAGCACTCTTTAGATAGGACTCCAATCACATCTCTCACTCCTACACTCCTGTAAATTCCACAGAAACCTCCCAGCCCACACCATAGGCATTTCCTTCACCTCCTAACGGGCCACTCTGCACATGGAAACCAGATGATGCACGGCAAATACGCCCAGTATCTAATTCACTCCCTGTCCTGCCCCAGAACACTAAAGTCCCCTAGCACCAGGGGCAGCCCAAAGCCCTGCTTTGAAGGTTTCCCCACATGGCCCTATTTCTCACTTTACTGTCAGCTGCCCAAACCATGTGAGGACTTCACATATTCTCAGCTGTCTCCTGCTTCATGGCATACTCTGTCCCATAAGCAGTCAGGAAAATCACTCTCCACCAAAACCTCATTCCAAGCCCAGCTGCCCTGATCTCCACACCTTCACTCCTGATATGATTTGGCTCTGTGTCCCCACCCAAATCTCAGGTTGAATTGTAATCCCCATGTGTCAGGAAGAGACCTGGTATTAGGTGACTGGATCATGAGGGCGTATTTTTCCCTTGCCTTTCCCATGATAGTAAGTTCTGACGAGATCTGGTTGTTTAAAAGTGTGAGGCTCTTCCCCCTTCATTCTCTCCCTCTCTCCTGCTCCACCATGGGGAGATGTACCTTGCTTCCCCTTCACCTTCCACCATGGTTGTAAGTTTCCTGAGGTCTCCCAGTTATGCTTCCTGTTAAGCCTGAAGAACTGTGAGGCAACTAAATCTGTTTTCTTCATAAATTACCCAGTCTCAGGTAGTTCTTTTTTCCTTTTTTTTTTAAGATGGGGTTTAACCATGTTGGTCAGGCTGGTCTTGAACTGCCGACCTCAGGCAATCCACCTGCCTTGGCCTCAAAAGTGCTTGGATTACAGGCGTGAGCCACCATGCCCAGCCTCAGGTAGTTCTTTATAGCAGTATGGAAATGGACTAATATAACTCCCATCCTCATCTCACCGCAACTGATGCTTAGCAACTCTTCAACCTCACCCTTTTATCCCCTTCAGCAACCCTATCATGTCCACTCTGCTTCAAAAGCTTTTCTCACTTCTATACCCCATCGTCTTACACATACTCATCCCCACTAACACTACATTCCCTCATTTGTCTAGTGACTCCTCCACCACCACACAGGTACCCAGTAAGATACCCTGTTCTCATGCCCCATTCCAATTCTCTATCTTCTTTTTTTTTTTTTCTGACTCAGAGTTTCACTCTTGTTGCGCAGTCTGGAGTGCAGTGGCACGATATTGGCTCACTGCAACCTCTGCCTCCCAGATTCAAACAATTCTCCTACCTCAGCGTCCCAAGTAGCTGGGATTACAGGCACACACCACCACACCAGATAATTTTTGTTGTATTTTTAGTAGAGACAGGATTCCACAATGTTGGTCGGGCTGGTCTTGAGCTCCTGACCTCAGGTGATCCACCTGCCTCGGCCTCCCAAAGTGGTCGGATTATGGGTGTGAGCCACTGCGCCCAGCCCAATTCTCTATCTTCGAACAGTCATGCCACCAAAACCTAGAGATGCTGTCACCTAAACTGAATCCATGGCTTCACTGTGGTCCATATGACAGCCACCATGGTATGGACATCTCCAACCTGAACTCCTCCACCAGGAGTCTCTGAGACATCTGTGACCTGAACAAACACTGAATCCTCATACTCACTCTGAAAATTCCTTGACTTCCCCCATCTTAGACAATGGAGCATCTATGCTTCCAAACGAAAACCATGGGGCTACTCCTGATTCCCCTTCCATCCCACCTCCCCAGCTCTCTCACTCACTACATCATAAAATGTGGGCAGCTCCAATTCAAAACATTGCTACTCTTGACAAGCCATCAGCAACATCCACCTAGACTGCTGCAAGAACATCCTCTCAGACCTCCCTGCCATTACCCTCTATTCCACAGTCTGTCCTCCACTCAGAAGTCAAAGGAAGTCCCTTAAACTAGGGTCCTATCACTGCCGTCTTCTTCAAATCTTCCCCATCTACCACCTCCCTTAGAGACCCAGGACCTAGGCTGTCATTCCAGGTCTGATGTTTGGTGTGTCTCTAGCCACTACCTACTCTGTTCCCTATTCCTACCAGATATAACAGACACTTGCAGTTCCCTAAAAAGCCAGCTCAGTCTCTCCTCCAAGCATTGAAACATTCTGAATCCTGTGCCCAAGAGGCCCTAACATATCTGATCAATTCTCAAAAATGGGGACCAGTCCATGTAACCCAGTACTCAACTTATAATACTGGAACTGGTGAAACCACTCACTCTTTAGACGTAAAAGACAGGGAAAGAGATTTTGACACCTGCCAAAACCATATGGGAGGCTGGGCATGGTGGCTCATGCCTGTAATCCTAGCACTTTGGGGGGCCAAGGTGGGCAGATCACCTGAGGTTGGGAGTTTGAGAAAAGTCTGACCAACATGGAGAAATCCCGTCTCTACTAAAAATACATAAGAGCCGGGCATGGTGGCACATGCCTGTAATCCCAGCTACCTGGGAAGGCTGAGGCAGGAGAATCACTTGAACCCGGAAGGTGGAGGTTGCGGTGAGCCGAGATCGCGCTATTCTCCAGCCTGGGCAACAAAAGTAAAACTTTGTCTCAAAAAAAAAATTATATACACACACACACACATACACATACGAGATAACACTCGTCTTATCGAGTGGTAGGAAACACTCTACTCACATGTGCAGGGTCCATTTCTGCCAGCCAGGGGACCCTGAGGGAAGAGAAAGGCCATGAGAAATGGACAGCCATGGAAGGATCCTACAGGCTGAGATGGACCACTACCCCCTCTGCCCTGCCTGGGAGCAAACCAATCTCAAATCATTGAATAAAGTTCCTTAGGCCTCAGTGCTGCAGCTCTGTGACCATGGAAAAGAACTGACCCACCTGAGCTTCAGTGCTCCCATCTGTAAATAGATTGTAATAGCTAACCCCTTATAGGGCTCACAATGGTATCAAACATCAGTAGCACATACTACATATCAGCTACAATAGTGCAAGAATTAATGGTTTTGTATATGTTTTTAATACAAATGAAATAGTGGGGTTTTGAAATTTTCATGTATGCTTTTAGCTTAAAATTTTAGAGAATGTGATATTAAATTTTTCCATGGAAAGCAAACAGAGATAAGTTAACATCAAATCAATTATGAACCACTTTTAGAAATGACTTCAGTATGAGCTTCCTACCTGTTTGCACACACTTAGAAAGATATTGTCTAATTAGGGTTTACATCAATATCTATTTTATACATCATTAAGTTAATGAGTTACAGAGAGGGGAGGAGTAGACAGGTCAGGTACTGGTCCCTTCTGCAACCAGGCCTGCCTGCTACATAATCTTCTGAAATGAGCTTGTCAGAAGACCTTGACTGGAACAGTAGATCATCCCCTCTTCCCTTACACGTAGCGAAGGGGAAAAAGCAGTGCTCTGGTCTGGAACCCAGCTGCTCCACCAGCCTCAATAACATTTCTCTTGTTCAACGGAGAGTGGCCCTGAGGGTCAACCAAGTCTGCAGGTGCAGAATCGAAACCACCTCACACCTCAGCTGCCATCCCAGGCTATCTGCTTACCCAGGCCAGGCTTCCCTTTTTACAGATACAATCCAGAATTCCTGTTATGGCAGGTCTGTGCCTTTCAGAGTAGGATCTGTGGAGCCACCAATGGTCTGGTCCCCAAGTCTCAGCCCTCTGCTCTCTCACCACATAGCCCATCGGAAATGACAATCTCAAGATTTCCTTCATATTAAGTCCATCTGACTTCAAATTACACTACAAGTCTGTAGAAACCAAAACAGCATGGCAAGGGTGTAGAAATAGACACATAGAGGGTATAACACAGTGGTAGAGCATTTGACTGCAGAAACAGACACATAGATCAATGGAACAGAATAAAGATACTGGAAATAAAGTCATATGCCTACAGCCAACTGATCTTTGAGAAAGACAACAAATACCTACACTAGGGAAAGGACACTCTTTTTAATAAAAGGTACTGGGAAAACTGGATTGCCATATGAGGTAGAATGAATCTGGACCATTTAACTTGCCATATACAAAAATCAACTCAAGATGAATTAAAAATGTAAATGTAGGGCCCAAAACCAAAAATACTAAAAGAAAACCCAGGGAAACCCCTTCTGGACATTTGTCAAGGCAAAAAATTCATGCATAACCAGACTTCAAAAGCACAAACGACATAAGCAGAAGTAGACAGATAGGACCTAATTAAACTAAATAGCTTCTGCATAGCAAAAAGAATAATCAACCAAGTGAACGCACAACCTGAAAAATGGGACAAAATATTTGCAAACTATATATCTGACAGGGTACTAATATCCAGAATTTACAAATAACTCAACAACAAACAAACAAAACATAACAAAACAATAAAATGTCATTAACAGTAAGCACAGGACATGAATAGACATTTTTCAAAAGAAGACATATAAATGGCAAACAGGCATATAAAAAATGCTCAACAGGGCCAGGCGCGGTGGCTCATGCCTATAATCCCAGCACTTTGGGAGACCAAGGCGGGTGGATCACGAGGTCAAGCGATCGAGACCATCCTGGTCTACATGGTAAAACCCCATCTCTACCAAAAATACAAAAATTGGCTGGGTGTGGTGGCGCACGCCTGTAGTCCCAGCTACTCGGGAGGCTGAGGCAGGAGAATTGCTTGAACCCAGGAGGTGGAGGTTGCGGTGAGCCGAGATTGCGCCATTGCACTCCAGCCTGGGTAACAAGAGCGAAACTCCAGCTCAAAAAAATAAGAAAGAAAATGCTCAACATCATTAATCATCAGACAAATTCAAATTAAAACCACAGTATCTCCTTATACTGGTCAGAATGGCTATCATTAAAATGTCAAAAAATAACTGATGTTGCTCCGAATATGGGGAAAAGAAAAAGCTTACACACTTGGTGAGAATATAAATAAGTACAACCTCAATGGAAAACAGTATGAAGATTTTTCAAATAACTGAAAACGGAACTAACATTAAATCCAGCAATACCACTACTGGGCATCTAACCAAAGGAAATCATTACATAAAAAACATACATGTCTTTTTATCACAGAACTATTCACAATAGCAAAGATAGGGAATCAACCTAAGTGTCCATTAATGTATGACTACATAAAGAAAATGTGGTCTATATATACACAAGATAGTATTCCTGGGTCACACACACACAAAAAACAAAAAACGAAACTCTGTCTTTTGCAGCAATGTAGATGGAACTGGGGGCCTTTATTAAATGAAAGAACTCAAAAACAGAAAGTCAAATACTACATGTTCTCACTTATAAATGGGAGCTAAATAATGTGAATACATGGACACAGAGTGTGGAACGACAGACATTGGAGACTCCAAACAAGTGGAAGGCTGAGAAGAAGATGAGTGATGAGAAATTATTTAATGGGTACAATGTACATTATTCAGGCGATGGATACATTAAAAACCCTGACTTCACCACTACGCAATAAATCCAGATAACAAAACTGCACCTGACTCCTTAAATTTACACAAAAACAAACAACAGCAACAAAACAACAAAGAACAAAAACAGAGACCTCCCTAGTCAATCTGATCCTCAGACCATGCTCTGGCCCAGCGCACGCCCTCCATCCCTTTGATATCTCCAACCTAACCCCCTTCCTCAGACTTCACACCTTTATGACTTCCTGCCTGTGTGACATATCCATCTTGAGACATTTGAGAATCGCCATGTCCAAAATCCAACCTGTGATCTTCTCCCGGAAATCTGCTTTTTGTGCAGACTTCCCCAATTCCATCCTTTCAAACGTTCAAACAGAAAACAAAAAACAAAACCAACACTTGAAATGGTTCTTCACTGCCTTTGTCCAGACAACTGAAGCACCAGGAAAACCTACCGGCCCTATCTTTCAGGCCTATGAAGAATCCCATCACATCTCCCTCTACTGTCACTGGTCCAGCCCCAACCATAACTTCCCTGGGTCTACTGCAATGGCCTTACGGCTTTTTCGCCGGTCTCCCTGGGTCCCTTCTCAACCTGTTTTTCCTAACTTGAAACTTCTAACTCTGGATGTGCCCCCTCCACTGTCCCTCCCTTGACAACCTTCCATGGTTACTAGCTGCTCAGGTTGCCATTCCAAGTGAGATTTCCTAAAACTTTCTTTCCCGCAGAAACAACACACACTCGCGGCGCCCCGACACAGCCCATTCGGCAGCGCCTCCATTCCCTGAACCTGAGGTCCTCGACGGGAGCTCTGAGACTGCATCAACCAGGCTGATACTGGGGCCCCACACAGGAACGCCCCCCTCTTCGGGACAAGGGGCCTGACCTGCAGGGCCCGCTCTGGGGGGCTTCAGCACTGGGAGGAAGAGTTGGGCAGTGGGAGCTGGGACAGGACACCCACCTCAGTCAGGTTCATCGGCAAGGCGTCCGCCAGCCCAGCCAGGAAAGAGCGGGGCGGGGGCGACAAAGGCAAGACAAGGACGCGATGTCCCCAGTCCTTGTCAGCTGAATGTCACTCCCCTCTCTGCAGGGTGGGAACCAAGCCGTTTCTCGCGCTTTTTCGCTCCGTCACTTCGGTGACGTCAGAGAGCGCCATAGGCCGTGGCTAGTGAAAACACCAGAGAGAACCAAAACGACCACCTCCAGGAGGACGGCGGAAGTCCCGCCCTCCGACAGTACGCACGCACGCACGCAAATGTCCCATTCTAAGCCTTCATTGGGTAAGTCGCGCCGCCAGGAGCTGCAGTGTTTTCTGGGTTATGAAGTTTTGACACTGCTTCCTGACTTGTCTTAGAGCGTTGGTCAGTCCTTAAATGGCAGATAAAGACCCGGTGGCATTGTAAGGCGAGCTGGGAAACAGAGTCCCCGACTCCAAAGACAGGACGGGGCTTGGCTTGCTCTTAAAGGTGGCATACGGATATTTTCTTGGACTATAGTGTAGGATATTTACAGAAATGTTAGCAACTTGTTTTTTAAGACTCTATTAAGCACAGCTAATTCCAATGACTACCTGTCCAAAGAGACACACCATACCAAAAAGGCATTCTGTCTCTACTCATGCCTGTCAGCCATATTGTTGCTTTTTAAATACACATACAGTTACGCTTTTGAGTCTGTTTAGTAAGCTTCAACATATTTTGTCCAGAAGAAGAAAGGAACACTACACAGTGCTATGGACTGAAATTTGTAGGAAGGATGGCAGGAGACACTGAAGTATACTGAAAGGGTGAAGCTATATCTCTGGATCAAAGAGAAGACATCTTACCTGACTGTTAGAGTCAGTGATTGTGTTCCTACCAAGGGTGCAATGCTTTTATTCTAATAATACTTACTCATATCTATTTTCCATTTATTTGAAGAATCACAATCTTATCTGAAAATAAGAGTGACAGCCAAAATAAGTGATTGAGACATAAGTCACAAATCATGGAGATTTATTGGACCAGCCTAAGGGCACATCCAGAAAATGTAAGTCACAGAAGTGTCTGTGGCTGATTTTTTCATAGAGGTTCTTAGGAGGTTTAGTATTTATTATACATTTTCCTTAAAAATGACGAGGGGTTGGCAGTGAGACAAATGATTACATACATGTGACACTTCAGTTAGTGCCCCGTAAATCTACATTTTACATACGATAGAGTGAACATGTGAGAGGAAAAAGGAACAGAAAAAGCAGATGTTTCAGGGAAGGATGAAGGAATAGATAATCTCATCTTCTCTTTGTTCTGTACCTTGAAAGATAAGCTAGTAGTCTTCTGAAAAGGCTGATTTCTATTTAACCCTTAAGGAAGAAAACCTAGTGACTGTAGTGAGGTACAGGATATAATGCGGTTGTGTCTGATTTCCTATTCCTATATAGTGGTGAGTTCAGCTTCCAAAGTTACTCTAGGGTTCTCATGGCCAAGAGGGCATCCATTCAGTCAGTTAGGGGGTGCTCCGAATTTTATTTTTATTTCTCAAGAGCAACTGACACATGGCCATTTCCAGACAGGACACTGTCTACCATTTTCATAATTGAAGCATATACACATCTTATACTCAAGAAAAGGTGTGGAATTCCATGATGTTATCTTCTTTCTCAGAAATGATTTAAAATTGCACCTGTGTTTACAACCGTGTTTTGCACAGGGACTTGAATTATTTTCACATACTTGAAACCATTGCTTATTAACTGCTTAGAGGGATAAGTACAGATGATAAAGTGAAAGACTTGCCACAGATAAAAATGAATAGAGAAGCTGTGTGATGATGTGTATTTACTTCTCTAGTAAATGTTCAATAAGCACATATGGACTGGGTTTCAGATCAATGGTAGGTGCATGGGACACACTCGGAATAGGTTTCCCAGCTGCTATGTGTATACAGGACTGTTCTGTGTTTTCTTAGATTCTGTATTTGTCTGTTTGATATTCGTTAATCACAGAGTCAAACTAATAGAACCTAAGTTGTTTACTTTTTTCTTGCAAGTCACTTACTCAAGTGCATGAAACTCTATATAAAATCCCCATCATTCTATTATAAAGACACATGCACATGTATATTTATTGTGGCACTGTTTACAATAGCAAAGACTTGGAACCCAAATGCCCATCAATGATAGTCTGGATAAGAAAATATTGTACATATACACCATGGAATACTATGCAGCCATAAAAAGGATGAGTTCTGCTTCTGGATTCCTTAGAAGATTTTAAAAAAAGGATGAGTTCATGTCCTTTGCAGGGACATGGATGAAGCTAGAAATCATCATTCTCAGCAAACTGACACAAGAACAGAAAACCAAACACCGTATGTTCTCATTCATAAATGGGTGTTGAACAATGAGAACACATGGACACAGGGAAGGATGAGGGGAACATCACACACCAAGGATGGGGGGCGGGGGGGCTAGGGGAGGGATAGCAGGGGGTTGGGGGGATTGGGGAGGGGTAACATTAGGAGAAATACCTAATGTAGATGATGTGTGGCAGGGGGATGGATGCAGCAAACCACCATGGCATGTGTATAACTATGTAACAAACCTGCACATGTACCCCAGAACTAAAAGTATAATTTAAAAAACCCCAAGCACAAACACTGAAATGTGTTTTTCCTTCCTGCCCATTGGCGATATCTACTGCATCATTCTTTGCCACTTTAGTTATAAACATATAGTCCCAGTTACTTTCTTTTCTTTTTCTGCTTTCTGGTCTCTGTTTGTAATAAGGTTTCTTGTGACTTGTGTGGTGTGCAGTGCCTCTTGGGGCAACTGTAACATTAGTCTTTTCTTTTGATGGCAGTGACCTCTCTGTGTCATTGCTAATTATGAATTAAGAGCAGGGCACAGTTCAAGAATATGACCTTGGCTTTGCAGATGCCGCTGCCGCCTGGAGCCTTATAGTATCAGCCATGGTCAACCCCACTGTGTTCTTTGACATTGCTGTTGACGGTGAGCCCTTGGGCCATGTCTCCTTCAAGCTGTTTGCAGACAAGTTTCCAAAGACAGCAGAAAACTTTCATGCTCTGAGCACTGGAGAGAAAGGATTTGGTTATAAGGGTTTCTGCTTTCACAGAATTATTCCAGGGTTTATGTGTCAAGGTGGTGACATCACATGCCATAGTAGCACTGGTGGCAAGTCCATCTATGGGGAGAAATTTGATGATGAGAACTTCATCCTAAAGCATACAGGTCCCGACATCTTGTCCATGGCAAATGCTGGACCCAACACAAACAGTTCCCAGTTTTTCATTTGCACTGCCAAGACTGAGTGGTTGGATGGCAAGCATGTGGTCTTTGGCAAGGTGAAAGAAGGCATGAATGTTGTGGAGGCCATGAAGCATTTGGGTCCAGGAATGGCAAGACCAGCAAGAAGATCACCATTGCTGACTGTGGACAGCTCTAATAAGTTTGGCTTGTGTTTTTATCTTAACTACCAGACCATTCCTTCTGTAGCTCAGGAGAGCACCCCTCCAACCCATTTGCTCACAATATCCTAGAATCTGTGCTCTCACTGCAGTTCCCTTTGGGTTCCATGATTTCCTCGTTCCCTTCCATGCCTAGCTGGATTGCAGAGTTAAGCTTCTTATGATTATGAAATAAAGACTAAATAACAACAACAAAAAAGGATATGACCTGTATTTAATGATTTTTCCTGAATCTTGTATTGACTTATCAGAATGGCTTACATATCCTACATATCAGCTGGTTGTAATACATTATAAAGAATCACCAGTGGGAGATACATTTTTCTCAGACTGTAACTGGTCATTAAATTACTTATTGGCAACACTAGTTGAAAACCATATCCTCACAAACAAATATGTAGGTAATACTTATGATGTCTTAGTCCAATTAGTATTGCTATACATGAATACCTGAAGCTCGGTAATTTAGAAAGAAAAAAGTGTTTATTTGGCTCAAAATTTTGATGTCTGGAAAGTTTAAAATTGGGCATCTGCCTCTGTGAGGGTCTTCAGCAGCTTCTATTCATGGTGGAAAACAAAAGAGTTGTTAATGGCAAGACCAGCAAGAGAGGTATTGACTAGAAATCATATTGCAAGAGAGGAGGATAGTGGGTGGGGAGAGTTTCAGTCTCCTCTTAACAACCAGCTTTCTTGGGAACTAACAGTGAGAATTCACCCATCCTCAAGTGGGAGTATTATTGATGTAGGATCTACCCCCATGACTGAAACACCTCCCATTAGGCCCCACCTCAAACAATGGAAATTAAATTTCAAGATGAGGTTTGGAAGAGACAAACATCCAAACTATTGCATATGATTTCTTACAAATTCTGGCTGTTGAGAAACCAAAAATGGGGAATGAGAATTGAGTTGCTGGGTTTTTTATGTTCAAGTAAGGAAAAAATTTCTCTCTGCCCCAAATACATAGTCCTGAACAAGAAACCACCATTAATTAGAGATAACTTGGGATGAGTACCTATGTTTTAAAAGTCAGCTAGTCAGCAATAGCTTCACCCTAGTAATTAACCTGAAACTTAGCAAATCATTGTTAGGCCAAGCTTATAAAATTCTTCCAATGGGAGTAAGGCCCAGTACTAAAGACAGCCAATCAGTGGCAGCCCCAGGTTGCTAGACAACAATTAATCAGCAAGTGCCTCCTGTGAGTAATCCTGTTTATTAAAGCCAACTGGTAAATAGTTGACAGTTAAACTAACACGCCTGAATGTCCATCAATCTCTCAATTCTGCTGCTTCTGAAAATCCTCAATCCCTGAAGTCCAGACTTCCTAAATGCTCATATAATAGGATGGTGGGGTGGCTAATGCCTGTAATCCCAGCACTCTGGGATGCCAACGCAGGCGGATCATGGGGTCAGGAGTTCGTACACCAGCCTGACCGACATGGTGAAACCCCTTCTCTACTAAAAATACAAAATTAGCCAGGCATGGTGGCCCATGCCTGTCAATCCCAGCTACTTGGGAGGCTGAGGCAGGAGAATCACTTGAACCTGGAAAGTGGAGGTTGCAGTGAACCAAGATCGCACTACTGCACTCCAGCCAGGGTGACAGAATGAGACTCCGTCTCAAAAAAAAAAGCTCATATAACATCAGCTTTGGCTTTATTTGAGGGGAGTGACAACTACAGCTCTGCCCTGCAAACGAAGACGAACATCACTTTTTTCCCTTAA